AGTTGAGAAAGGACGGCTCCAACTCCGGAAGTCGAGGCGTCTACCTCCACGACGAAAGGAAGTTCAGGATCTGGATGCGTCAGGAGAGGTGCCTGTGTGAAGGCAGATTTGAGGGATTGGAAGGCTGCGGCCGCTTCAGGAGTCCAGAGGAGACTTTTCGGTTTACCTTTGAGCAAGTTGGTGAGTGGAGTGGTGATGAGGCTGTAACCTCGTATGAAACGTCTGTAAAAGTTGGAGAATCCAAGAAATCTCTGAAGTTCCTTGATCGTGGTGGGTTCTGGCCAGGTAGTTACTGCAGTGACCTTCTTCTCATCCATTCGAACCCCCTGACGGTCAATGAGGTATCCTAAGAACTGTACTGAGGGGAGATGGAAAGAACACTTTTCTGCCTTCAGGAAGAGGTGGTGATCTCTGAGTGTGTGGAGGACCTCCGCAACGTGGTGACGATGTTCAACTTCACTCCGTGAGTAGATGAGGATGTCATCTATATAGACGACCACGAAGCGATGCAGAAACTCCCGGAGGACCTCATGTATGAAGTTTTGAAACACAGAAGGGGCGTTGACCAGACCATACGGCATAACCAGATATTCATAGTGACCAGTAGGGGTCACAAAAGCGGTCTTCCATTCATCCCCTTCTCGTATTCTCACCAAGTTGTAAGCGCTGTGGAGGTCCAACTTCGTGAAGATGGTAGCAGAGCGAAGTTGTTCGAGGGCCGCAGGGACGAGAGGAAGGGGATATTTGAATTTGACTGTACCTTGGTTTAGAGTCCGATAATCAATGCATGGCCGCAGCCCTCCATCCTTTTTGGCAACAAAAAAGAAGCTGGATGCTGCAGGAGATGTGGAATGCCGAATGTATCCTTGATTGAGAGCTTCCTGTATATACTCCTCCATGGCCTTGGTCTCTGGCAGTGACAACGGGTAAATCTTACCTCTGGGCAAAGGAGTATTGGGAATCAGATCAATGGCGCAGTCCCATGGCCGATGTGGTGGTAGCTGGGAAGCTCTCTTGGGGCAGAAGATGTCTTGGAAAGAAGAGTAGATATCAGGAATCTCCGTGGACTGTTTCTCGAGAGGACTTTCAACTGATGTGACATAGACTGGAACAGGATTCGGTATCGGACGTGGAAGAACCGGAAAACATCTTGGTAAGCACTCTTTGCCCCACTTTATCACTTCCCCGGCGCCCCAAGAGATGATGGGATCGTGTTTCACCAGCCACGGACGCCCAAGGATGATGTCCACATTGGCTCCCTCCAGAACCAGCAGCTGAATATCCTCCTTGTGTAGGGCTCCGATTTGGAGCATAACGGGTTCACATTTCTGGTGAATACGTGGACGTGCAGTGATGAACTTGGTTATGGGTTGGATCTGGTAAACATTTGACGAGGCTTCGGTACGGAGCTGGAGCTGGCGACAGAGGGTTCCCGAGATGAAATTCCCTGCTGACCCGGAGTCGATGAGAGCGTGGGCTGAAACAGAGGATGTCTGGGTGGTTAACTGGACACAAGTAGTGAGAGGATGCATCTTTTCTTCATCAATATGAAACACACTCACCGATGTTCGTATGGGACGAATTGGACAGTTTAACCGAACATGCCCACTGGCTCCACAATACAGGCATAGACCCCGGTTCAGTCTCCTCTGTCGCTCAGCAGCGGTGAGTTTACCAGAGTCGATAATCATGGGTTCTGGTTCTGGAGGGCTGGCGGTTTCAGATGGGCGGAGGAGTGCAGTAATGTTAGAATGGGACTGATAAGATTGCAGACGGTCTGAGCATCTGATGGATTGTTGAATGAACTTTTCGAGCCCCATATGATCATCCAAAGCGGCCAGTTGTAGACGGAGTTGGGGTGTGAGACCAAGCCGGTAGGTGGTCAGTAAGGACCGCTCGTTCCATCCACTGGCTGCAGCAAGAGAGCGGAAGCGAAGGGCATATTCACGAGTCGACATCTTTCCTTGAGATAAATGATAAAGTTGCTCACCGGCTGATATCTCTCCATCAGGTTGGCCGAACACCTCTTTGAAGTGAGAAACGAAAGCTTGTATAGAACTAATGGCTGGACCAGCTTGCCTCCAGATCGTTTCTGCCCATTGGAGAGCTGGACCGGTGAGTAACGATGTGATGAATGCTATTTTTGACTGGTCGGTAGGATATAAAGTGGGTTGCATGGTAAATATGAGAGAGCATTGAAGCAAAAATCCGTTGCACTCCTCCGCCCCGCCAGAGTAGGGCGCTGGTCGGGCCATGGGACTGGAAGCTACTGTTGCCGAAGAAGTGCTCGGTGGCGGTGGCGCTGGCGGTGCCGGTGGTGCGGGAGGCGCGATGGTAGGAGAAGATATTAAAACCCTCTTCAACGAATCCACCAGCTCTTGAAAGGGATCTGGAACACTCATGCTGTTACTGTCTTTTGGTCCGGGCTAACTGTTACGGAAGCAGACGGACAACAAGGTAAGTAGTGATGATAATGTTTAATTCAAACAGCAGAGTTTCAGGATACTTCAACGTGCAGAAATGGGTGAGTAACAGAGTTCAGATATGGATAATACTTGAGTGCAGTCCGTGAATGGATAATGGATATTCCCTATGCAGGAACGTCGGATGGAGATATCCTGAGTGGAGAAGAGGCTAACAGGCTGACGGCACACACTCACGCACCCCTTGACTGGACTGAAAGGCTTACGGCTCGTACACCACGGCAGAGATGATCTGGACAGACTGGGATCGGCACAGAGAACTGGTAAGTAAACACAGGGTAGATAGGTTAGTGACACTCGTAGAGAGAAGCACTATGAGTCCGCTTCGTATGAACGAGCCCGGACAATGAGAGGTGCGTGGTGTGTGCTTATGAAGCAGAGTGGCTAATGGGGTGCAGGTGTCTCTTGTTAAAACTCAGGTGACTGTGATCGTTGGGTGATTGTGGTGGAAGAACCTGGCCAATCCGTGACAGCGCCCTTGAGGAGTGAGATATATAAAATGATGTAAAATTAACTATAGAAAAGGTGGAGAGAGGGAAATGGAAAGGAAGAGAGATGGAGAAATTCATTGTTGTAAAAATCTTTCTCTCCTCATTCCAAGAGATATTAGAAGAGGATAGAGAAAGAAAAACTGTGAGTGAGAGAGAAACAAAGAAAATTATAAAGAGAAAGAAGAAAATAATGAAGGATAAATAAATAAATTGAAGATGTTAACTGAATAATGAAGTACTGAAGGATGCCCAGAGAGCGAAACAATTAATTAATAGTAATTAATAGTAAAAGACTGAATACAAATAATAACAATAATAAAAATTGGGATGTACAGTAACAGTAATGGCAACAATGGTGTGGCAAAAAAAAAAAAGCATATGGTACCTTTAATTCTACATGAAGATAGAGAGAATAGAAGCTTAGATGAGATCATTCAAAGAGACATGTAAACATAAAAATAGAGGAAATAAGAAAAAACAGATAATAATAATTAAAAAAGCATATTATTATAATAATATTAATAATATTAAAAAAAAAAACTATTTTGAAAATGTTTCACTGCAGATATGTACACTTATTTGTACGTAATAAGAGTATGTATTCAATAGGGGCATTAATTCACAAATCAGGGTTGATATTTATATAACTTGATATTTAAAAAAGAACAATGGAGATATAGTTGTTTGAATTCAGATATCTTATGTTTGAAAATGGCTATCCGTTTTTCATTATTAATGTAGTCTCTTAATAATTTTTGCCATTGTGTAACAGAGATTCTGTTTTTATTTTTCCAGTTTAAAATGGTTGATTAACTAGAGATTAGGGGTTACGTAATCCGGCGTGGGTTTTTTTTTTGTGAATAGTAGATAGTTTTGAAATGGAGTGATTGATGGACAGGACCAAAGTGCATGAAGATAATCATCTGGAATATTCTGTATTCTATATACAATTTTATATTGGATTAGTTGTATTTTGGTGTTTCTACTCCCAACTAAATGTGCTGATGCAAACTTGTCTGCAAAAATTAATATCTGATTATGTTTAGGTCCTTTTCCCATTGCTTAACTGGAATTTAGGATATTGTATCTGTAGATATTAATAAGGAATATAGTTTAGTCAATAATTGTCTTGAGCTACTAATGGTTTCCAGTTTTTGATGGAATTTTTTATATGTAAAAAAAAAAAAAAAAAAAAACATCCAACATGATGGCAAATAGGTTTTCCAACTAATGTAAATCAATATTTACATAGTATACTAGTAGTACATTTATCTCTGACACACGTGTCAAGCAGATGATTTTGCTAAACTAACACAATACAACAAGAAGGCGTCAGCTAACACATTACATTAAAAGTTAAAACATTAAAAAGTACCATAGTTCAAACCTGTAATATTTAGTTAATACATCTGAAAAGCTAACCAACACATTCTCTCCTGTGAAAGGTTATCCCATTTCTTATGGAAGTTAAATCTGGTGGTTTCACAACCAACCTATTTTTTATATATACAAGTGTGACTCTGTGCCAATATGTACAATATAAAACCATTTAAAAACAAATTTCCTGGTTAAACATTAAGCCACAATAGTGTAATAAACAGTGCAACTTTTTCAAATTTTATATCAAATTGACAAAATTATCCACTAATAACGCTTTTTTTTTCACTCAAAAACTGAGGTACATAAGCTCAGATAAATAAGGGTTATGATTGATCAGTTCCAAAAAAATAAATACGAAACGTGTCCTTATTGAAAGAAAACAAGCTGACAAAAAGATTGAATCCAATATTTGGTGATAAGGTGTCATAACAAGAGATTTATAAGCAATTTTTTGACCGGGAACATCACAAGTGTTATAGGGTTTTCAACACAGCACATGGGTCAATATGATTAATTATTTGTTTTCTAAAATGGGGATTTTGTAATAATGGAAACTTCTCCCCTGTTCCGGTAAATTTGGTTATGTTTACATTCAACATTCGACGCATCCCCCCACTGAGAGCACCACTATAAAGGCCCGGTGTAGTCCCTACTTCAGTGTCTTTTCAGCTAACCTAGACAGCTCATCATGGCAGCGCTGTTTCTTTCCCTGTGTGTATGCTTGGCTCTAGCTCTGAGCAACGCCGCTCCAGCGTGAGTATCTGATACAATATCACATTCTATCTAGAAAAGACTGCAAATAGATCCAAAAATGCCTTTAGTTTTCTAAAGATCCTCAAAGGCATTGGAACAAATAAGTATTAGTTTAATCACAGCACTCACAGTCTTGCATACAGTACAACACTTGTATGTGTGTGTGTGTGTGTGTGTGTGTGTGTGTGTGTGTGTGTAAATATATATATATATACACACACACACAAGTATATATATATTACAAGTGTATATAGATATAGCATATACTTAGCTTTCTGCAGAATAAATGTGATCATGAAAAGCTATTTTAGTTCATATTTGACCAGTATATTTCCATCAACCTCTGTTTGCTTGTAAGTTAAAATTTTGGCTATCGTTGTTTGAGTTTCTGCAAAACAATCAATAACGCAGATACTGATTAAAGTCCACATCAGCATTTGTATTTATTTTGCTGCCTTCCAGAGATAGGTTAATATTTGATCAGTAGGCTACATGTTGTCCTTGCTTAATTCATGTTTGTTTTATTGGTACACTCATATAGCCTATATAGCTTAAAAGCTTAAATCACTGAAACTGCTTTCTTTATTTCAGCCACCATGATGTCATGATGAAAGGTAAGCATGAACATCTATCACTGCAGTTTTTGCAGATTTTCTGAAATTGGTGATGTTTTAAAAAATAGCTAAATTCTTCTCGCCACACGGGAGGCTTTTTACTATTAACATATTATTATGCTGATGGTATGTTAAGGGTTAAATGTGTTATGTTTGACTGACAATAGACTGGTTGTGCAATGGCAGTATACTTAAGATCCTTGCACACTGAGTCAGAAATTTTCGTATGTGTTTTTTAGTATTCGTCATCCTAAAAATTCGTCACGCACAGAAACCTTGCACACCGAGTCCGATGTGTATTAGATAATTTGTTGCGGGGAAAAAAAAAATCGCAAAACAATACAAAATGGAGTCTTCAAACAGTGAGGATGATTTTCTTGTCCTCTCTCTTCTTAAAAAGAGGGAAAAAATTGGATCCATCCAATCCCGAGATTGCGTAGAGAGAAAGGAGAGTTTCACCTCTCCCTATCAAGGAGCTGCGGAATTATCCTGAGCGATTAAACATTTACTTCATTGTCAAAACACCTCTCAAAATGCTTCCTACAGATGCGAAAAATGCAGAAAATTTAACCCAGTCTGAATTTTTTCTTAAGATGGACGAAGGTTTTGGAAGCAGTGTGAATTCTCGACCGAAATTTTCACATGTTAAAAAATAAATACAACCTCATGTTGTGTCAATGGCATTTACACACTGGCTCCGAAACTTTCGTCCGTCATTAAAATAAAAAATCCGATCTGGTTCGATTTTCTGCATTTTTTCGCATCCCTAGCAAGCATTTTGAGAGGTGTTTTGAGAATTCAGAGATCCAGCTTCAGAGCCACCTTACAAGCAAACGCCAAATTGGTTGTGGTCTTTTTAATATGCGGCTGCAGTATCGCTAGCAAAGGATCAAACTGAGCCACTGACATCCTGAAGTAAACTTTGAACTGCTCGGGATAATCCCGCAGCTCCTTGATAAGGAGGTGGAACCCGCAATCTCAGGATTGGATTGACCCAATATTTTCTCTTTCTTTTTTGCTTTTTAAGAAGAGGACAACAAAATCATCCACACTGCTTGAAGACTTAATTTTTTGCATCAGATTAATTAATACGGATTGGACTCAGTGTGAAAGGTTTCTGTGCGCTACAAATTTTTAGAATGACGAATACAGAAAAAATGCATAGAAAATTTCGGACACAGTGTGCAAGGACCTTTACTCTTGAATTTACTCCATGCTCTAGATGTCTTGAATGATAAATTTATGTAATCATAGATGCTCCTGAGCTCCATGATGCCAAACCTGACCGGTGTAAAGGCATTGAGTTTGATGCCATCACTCCCGATGAAAAAGGAAACACTTTCTTTTTCAAAGGTCTACTTTGATAATTCCTCTTTTATTATTCCAGGCCATCTATTAGAAATGTCCTTACATGGCCATGCCAGGTTGAGTTTAAGTTAACGTAGCTTCTTTCTTTTTTTGGCATTCTTGGTTTTGATTTTTTATATTCAGGTGACCATTTATGGAAAGGTTTCTCCGGATCAGCTGAGCTCTCAAGCAGCATCTTCAAAGAACTGGATGACTATCATGACCTGGGTCATGTCGATGCAGCCTTCCGCATGCACCAACAAGATGATGCCAGTGTTCATGACCACGTCTACTTCTTTCTGGTGCTTTTTATGAGTTACATCTAGTACCTCACATGAATGTTTCTATACAGACAGTACTTTTATCAAAACAATTTAAAATCAACTTTAATTTTTCTTTGCACAACTAAGAACTTTTCAAATATTTATTCACACTGTGCAAACCCAAGCCTGCAGTCTATAATATAACAACCATAGACATGCGGTCCAATGCTGATAAGTGTTTTCGATTTTCTATTAAGGATGACAAAGTCTTTAGCTTTTACAACTACACCCTTGAGAAAGGCTACCCTGTGGAGATCCAGAAGGAGTTTCCTGGTATCCCCAGCCACTTAGATGCTGCGGTTGAGTGTCCCAAAGGAGAATGCATGACTGATTCAGTGCTGTTCTTCAAAGGTTATTGAATCATACATGCTCTACATTCACATCAACAATGACAATTTAAAGATTGGGTGCCTTTATAAAACTATCATGTACTTCAAATACTCCTATTATGGGTATACCTTAGGATTGTGTGCGCAAAATTTGTGGTTCCACTTTATCTTGATGGTCCCTTTAACACATTCTGTTTACTATAAGTAACGTTACACCTGCATGTCTACTAACTCTCATTAGATTGTTAGTAGAGTGTTAATAGACTGGTAGGGTTAGAATAAGTTGACCTGTAGTTGCAAAGTTACTTATAGTCAGTATAATGTCTGTTGGAGGAGCATCACAATAAAGAGTTGGCAGATATTAAGCAGAGAGTCTACTAATACTCTAATGAGAGTTAGTTGGCATGTAGTTGCAAAGTTACTTATAGTAAAACAGAATTTGCAAAAGGGACAATCAAAATAAAGTGTTACCGAATTTGGTGCTTTGCTTATATAGTATATAGGGCTCTATCTTGCACCCGGCGCAAATTACTTTGTACAGTGACGCATGTATCATTCCTATTTTGCACCCGCGCAAAGCGGGCTTTTCCCTCCAGACGCACGTCGGTTAACTAAGAAATACACTTGCGCTCCCCGGGGCGGTTCAGCGCAAAGAGGAGGCGTGTTCCGGCGCAAACTTTCCCTAAAACAATTGCGCCACTGACCAGAAAAAACCTAGTCTAAAGTCAGTGGCGCGTTGCGCGTTGTTCATAATGCTATTTTAAGCACGCATGCTTGGCCATAATGTAGCGGGTGCACAACGCACATACACTTTGATTGTCTCATCAACACAGATGCAGCAGTTTTTATTTTTGCAAATCATACATTATAACAAGGAAAAATATTAACACATGAGGGAAATCATTGTGGTATCCATGAAAAATTTAGTTTTTTTCCTCCACGCCTGTTTAACCGACGCTGATTTGGGTGGGTTTCTCCCATCCCCATACAACGTCACTTCTCTGTCTTCCACGGTCCTGACAAGAACGTCGGTCTCCTCGGCTGTGAACCGCTCCTGGCGCGCGCCTGGTAAATTACGCCCAAACCACACCTATGAATAATGAAGCTACTTCAGACCAACCCCTTTTAGATTTGCGCCAGGCACAAGAGGCATTTATCCCGCCGGGAAAATAGCAACAGCGCCGGGATCCGGCCACAAAGTTACTTGCGCTTTGCGCTTTGACACTTGCGTTTCAGATCGTTAAAATAGGGCCCATAGTGTGATTTGCACATTAATATATAACACAATAAACCTCTGCAGGAAACGAAACTTACACCTATGACATCAAGACAGAGACAGTTAAGAAGAAGATGTGGACACACTTGCCAAACTGCACATCTGCCTTTCGCTGGCTAGAGCACTATTACTGTTTCCATGGTCACAACTTCACCAGATTCCATCCAATTTCTGGGGAGGTGACAGGAACATATCCTAAGGATGCCCGACGCTACTTCATGAAGTGCGATGGAGGATTTGGTGAGTCACTTTGTTCTGTTTTCACTTTCCTGTTATTCACAAGGTATATCTCTATTATATCTCATTTTACCTTGAGTTTTTGACGTAATGTCTAGTTGAAATGGCTCCTTAGGTCATGGAGGGGGTGCAAGAAGGCTACGCTGCAGTGACGTCAAGCTGCATGCTGTCACCACAGATGATAAAGGGAAATCATATGCATTCCATGGTAAATACAGTATCATTGCAATCTATTTTTTCTTCTTTTAACATGTGAAACTTGCACTCAACAATTCTCACTATGAACCAGTTTCTTATTAGCATGCATATTACTGGTATATTGGCTGTACTTATAAAGCACATATTAATGGCTTATTCTGCATGACCAAATTCTACATTCCTTAATCCTGCCCAATACCTAAACTTAACCACCACCTTACTAGCTATTAAAAAGCAGTAATTGAGTTTACTGAGGCAAAACTTGTAGTTAATAGTTAGAATTGGAGCCTAATCTAAAGTTTGAGCACAATATAACTATACTATACTTACAGATGAAATGTACTTGCGTTTGGACACACACCGAGATGGCAGTCACCATTTCAATATTTCAAAGTCATGGAAGGAAATCTCTGGTGGAGTGGATGCTGTTTTTTCTTATGGTGATAAAATGTACATCATCCAGGTAAAATAAATACTTAAAAGAGGCTAAGCTTTAAATTGATTTCCATTGCTATTATTTTAGCCTGACATTTCAAAGCCTTTTCTTTAATCTTTACAATTTTAAAGAAGTAGTGTTCAGCATGTGGTGACCGATTATTTTGTTTTGCGCAAATAGGGTGGTCAAGTCTATATCTACAAGTCAGCAGTCCATTACACTCTCATAGAGGGCTACCCCAAACCTCTGAAGGAAGAACTAGGCATCGATGGCCCTGTGGATGCAGCATTTTTGTGTCCAAATCAGCACACTGTATTCATTATACAAGGTAGGAACAATGTGTGATTTTTATCAGATCATTCATTCGCATTTACAGTACATAGATGTTGTGAAGACAAGATGAGCGAAGAATGTAATACTAATAAGTATTTAAATGTAATATCCCCTTCACTTCCTAGAGTGATTCCTAACAAGATCTTTACTGTGTCATGCAATAATGCTGTAACATTCTCAGAGACAAGACAGAGGATCCAAATGCAGGAATAGTAATCAGGAAACCAGGAAACAGAACTGAGTACCTCTAAACAGTAATGACATTGACAAGGCCATACAATGAATACAGGAAACAATTGCTTATATACAGGGCAATAGACTAACAAGACATACATGGAAACATTCAAGGATTAACAAGGGGGAAACAGGAACAAGAAACAAACTAAAAGTCTTAAAACAACAGCAAACACAGGCAGATTATGAAGTTGAGGTGGCAAAGCAGGGGACCACGGAGGGGGGACGTGTGGGTGCCGGTGGGGCTGAAGACCATGCCGTGGCTGGCAGACCTTGGACAGGCATGACTCTTTTTATTTGCATTATTGAGACAGGATAGCATAGAGTAGACAGGAAGCAAAGTGGGAAAGAGAAGGGGACTGGATCAGGAAAGGTCCACAAGCCGGGACTTGAACTTGGGCCGCCCGGAGCGCAACCATGATGCATGTCAGAGCAGCTGTGACCGGCAATGAAGTTTTAGTAATGACAGGGATCTTGGGAAAGTCAGAGATGGCACTCCTAGCCATGGGAATATAGGCAGGGAACACATGGAACTCAAAGAAGGTCTCTGTGGCCGTGAGAGAACAGGCAGGGATGGCCTATATGGATTACTTTGTTTCTAGTTCATGTTCCTGTTGCCCCTTGTCATCTCCTGATGAACCCCTTTTCACATTTCCGGGGTTCTCAGAAGCAGATTGATTACAGCAGTCAGAAGAGAGAATGATTTGAAACTTGCCAAGACTTCCTCAGCTGTTGTATTAGAAACACTCAAGCAGCAGTGTTGATTTGTTTTTAACAATTTACTTCCAAGGTAATATAACACAAAGTATAGCATTATAAATGTTAAACTAATTAAATATGAAAAACTACATTTGCGATATGGTGTTTACTTAAAAAATAAGTCATCACAGTAAAAAGGGTCCATTGTGCGCACCTGTGTCTTGTTAGACAATTACACTTGTGTGTATATAAGCCCTTGTGTTTCCCATGTTCCTTGTCAGGTCTTGCCCATTCGTGGTTGTCTCTTTGGTGAGCACGGTTCTGTTTTCCTCGTGTTTCCTATTTCCTTGCTCCTGGTATTTTTGTCATTTAAAAATATTAAATTATTACATTTGGTTCTCTTTGAAACATACGTATGATATCTCACTATGGGAAACGCCTCTCGGCGTGACCAATCCTGGAAGCACCAATTACACCATGTCTGTCAGCTGACAGGCCAATCACCACAGTGATGTGAGAGGCCCGCCTCCCTAATATATACCGTTGCAACGGAAGTGAATCAATCAAAACTAACTTTAACTGGAAAATAACTTTATTCTAGAGCTGCTGTAAAGCCAAAACAATCTGTTACTTTAATTTCCTATTTTCACTGTAAAGCCGCTTTGGAACCATCTACTTTGTTTGTAAGCGCTATATAAATGAAGATGACTTGACTTGTCAACTGACAGATATGGGGCATATAGCACTTCCAGGATTGCACACGCCCGAGGCATTTCCCATAGTGAGATACCTCACATCTGTTATCAGAGAACTGGTTACGCAAGTAAGTGTTTCTGAGTTCCCAACATAACAATTGTCTGATTTTCCTTCTCAGGTCAAAAAATGTGTGAAGTTGATCTTGCGGCCACACCCCGAGTTGTTAAAAAGGAGATGCCTATTCCCTTCCCTAAAATTGATGCTGGCTTCTGTGATGCTGATGGTGTGAAGGTGTTTATTGGACCAGAATACTATTCATATGCAAGCCCAATGATTCTAGCTATGAGCAGAATTAGACCTCAACCTCAAAAGATCTCTCCAGAAAAATTTGCCTGTGAAGACTAAAGATTAGGCTAGGCAACAGCTTCTGATGATAAGTCATTTCAATAAGCTAATGATTTTGCTGCATATTGTGCTAATAAAAATTACACTTGTCTGGCATATCTTTGAATTTTCATTGTCCACTCAGGTTGTTAGTGTGGTCAAAAACAACACAAAAGAAAAAAATGACCCTTTAATATTTGTAGCAAAATAGCTCAAAAGGGAAATATATATTAATTATATATATATAATTAATCATAAATCGTTTTGATCAATTATTGCCTAAATATTTAAATCGCCCAAAAAGGGCGATGGAAATGTATTTATATTACCCTGGTTAAAACCAGACTATTCTCAGTTGTAACCGAGTTATGGTCTGGCAAAGCGTCATAGACAAATCATTTCCAGAGGGGCATCACCAAAGGACGTCGCGGATAGACCTAAAACCAATCAGAGCGATGAAGGAGATGACGTATGCAGAGCGGCAGAAACATCTCCGAGTGTTGTTCTTTGCTCGGTTTTTGACAAAAAGGAAACGTTCAAATCGCTTAAAACAGATGCGATAGCTGATTCGAACGAGTGATGTTCGACGGCGGCATCCATCTTTGTAATGTAGGCTACAAAATCTGCTTCAAAATCCCAGCGCTGTCGTCATCGTGTAAAGCCCGCCCCAACGTTTCTGATTGGTGCCTCGATTTCGACGGATTGGAAATGGGCTTGAATGAGCTCTTTGCCAGACTAACTTTCAGAGCAAATCTAAATTTGCCGGAAGTTGTCTGGGTTTTCCCAGGCTTTATTTATATAGCACAATTAAATACAATTTACATTGTCCAATATGCTTTACAATAGTAATACATTTTTTAAAAAATCATAAAAACTAACAACAATACAACAACAGTACAAATATAAATTTAAGTAAAATACCATAAAGTAAGTGCTTCACCAATTTAAAATAATGATGAGATGCAATGGAATGGTGCTTCAGCATGTGTTAACTGCCTTATCAAACAAAAATGTTTTTAACTTGGATCGAAAAACAAATAATAAAGAGGGGCCACTCTAACTGAAATGGGCAAGTCCTTCCATAATCTAGGGGCAACTACAGAAAAAGCACGGTCCCCCCTACACTCCAATTTTGACTTAGGGATAGACAGGAGTCTCTGATTTGATAACCGGAGTGATCTAGTTGGATGATGCTCAGTCAATAGAGCAGACAAGAAGGGTGGAGCCAGACTATTTAAAGATTTGTAAAAGTTTAAACTCCACTCTATAACGCACTGGCAACCAGTGTAAGGAACGTAAAATTGGCGTAATATGAAAAAGGGAATCCAATTATTTATATAATTAACACAAATTATAATGAATTATGAATATATAGATGGGATAGGTCAGCTTTCAGAATAACTTTTAACAGAATTAATTTCACATCTGTTCGTCCACCGAACGGACATTACGATCTTCTTCTTATCAACTCTCAAGTAAGGTTATTCTTCTGCTCATGAAGAATAACTTTTCTGTTCTATTAGATTACAAACTAAAGTACTCAACTGTATAAACTTGTAGATGAAGATCAAAACATTTAAGTGACTATGATCAGTGAGCAGCAACAGAGACAATCAAGCGTATAATGGTGTTTAATAAATGAAACTACGAATACATACAGTTGGTACTCAACCAGAATAGTGCTACAATAACAGACTTTGAAAAGTGTCAGTTTATTCTCTCTATTGCGTAATCTGCCGCGGCTCGTTGAGAACTGGTAGCAAATAAATTCAAGTGAAACAGTTAAATGAATTTATAATCCCTAACACTGAAATTATAGTAGGCTACATATTTAGAACTGAAACAAATGTAGGCTTCTATCATTGCAGCAAATTTAAGCAAAGTAACGTTAAAGAGAAACATAAAAGCTAACCGTTAACATTGTGTGCCCAGTTTTTCTAGCCTATAGGCTAATTTAGAAAGGCTATGCATGTCAAGGTTATGCATCTTATAGCCCACTTCATGTTATTTTAATTTGTTAGTAGGCCTAGATTTATGAACTGAAACATAACAGTAAAATAAATTAAACTAAATGATCGTAAAATTAAAACATTCCATATGTCAGGACTTGCTAACCGATGTTAGTCGGCAGCATTTGTGTTTTAGCATTAATTCATATTTAAATGGGCGCACAGTAGGTTGTTATGATTAGCATAATTTTCTTGAATATATAAAGAAAACATTTCAAAATAAAACATTGCAATAGAAAAATGTCACATCAATGAGGCTTTGGTTAAGCTCAAGCTCATAAAACAGCGTTCAGACGATAGCTGTATGATCAACGCTTCAACATGTTCCTCGCGGCGCTTCAAGCGTTCTGAGCTCGAATCTCAGCTCTACTTTCCTCATAATTTTGTTTGTACTTTAAAAGGCTATTTGTCAAAAATGAAAACTTCTGAAATGGTAATTTATTGATTCGAAACACTTTTCAGAGCTTTGTTATTCATTGTCTGTTATTTTTATTAATAGGCGTTTAGATGATAACATTAAAGCCTACATGCTGTTAACCGATGTTGGCCGACAGCGTTTATGTTTTACCGTTCTTAATACTTAAATATAGGTAACAGATTATTAAAGTCAAGCGTTTTGTTTGATTGTCATCCGATCGCTAAATTAATCTGCTAAATTACTGTTTTGTGAATCATTCACGAAATTGAGATGACTGACAGTGATACCCGGCCATAGCAATGAAAGAACATTTTCAAAAAAGATCCATACATTGAACAAATCAGAAAAAATACTGATTTTGTTGCCTTCTACAAAAAAAATAAGACTAACTAAGTAGTATTGCTTTTAATATAAAAACCAATGAAAATGTAAAAGAACACTAAAATTAATTCAGTTTAAAACCCCATTGCACATGTCAAGGTTTAAATAAAGAGTCAGGACAGTTTATTTATTTAAAACAAGTATAGTGTTTTAAATGTCATCGAGACACATCGAGAGATTTATCCTGAAAGGAATTTAGCCTTTGCCTGCTCCATATCATCAGGCTGGCTATCCGACACTCTCCATATGAAAGACGGGACATTAACACCTATATTGTCCTGCAGCCCCACGATAAAGCACTGAACTGCCCCTCCAAACCCCCCACAGTCTCTGAGAGGAGCGTCTGGGACAAAGAGAAGTCGCAGACATTAGCATTATTAAAGTGTTGATATAAAGGAATTAAATCATTTAGGTCACATGTAGTAATGCACCATTCATTCACACAGAACACGTAGGATTCGTATTTAAATAGTATTATTGCAGGGTATAGTATTATTACAAAACAATGGTAGGGGAAACAATGAGTTATTTGCAACTTGTGAAGCTTGTGAACATATTAGCAACACAGCTAGTAATGACAGCGTTCGGTTTTATTGTTGTCATCAATTAATACACGTCTTAATTACATTACATTTGGCTGACGCATTTTTACATTAATACATTATGTTGTCAATAAATTACCTTTGTCGGTAAGTTTTGGCCACTACCTGACATCATCTACCCAATGTTCCCTTTCACCAGACATTTTCTTTTCATTAGCAGGATCCGCTTTCATTGAAATGTCATTAGAGGGCAAGTGTCGCACCGTCACCCTTAGCAGGCACGCAGTAATGGCGGCAGGCAAGATGGCGGCGCCCATAGAGTTTGCGGCGGATTTGTGTATATGTATGAAAAGAAAAAAAACAAAACAAAAAACACCACATCTCTTAAATAGACACTATATATTACAGCAGGTAAATAATTATAGTAATACCAACAATGGTAATCCGAATACCTACACGAAAAAACAAAACACAAAAAAAACACAGCGTATCTTAAAGACAAATCAGTCCACACCTATTTTCTGTGAAATGACCAATGGTAGGTAGGAACTTTGAGCGGGAGAACGTTTTCTTTGTCTCCTTCTGACAGCCTAATTTGCATGGTGTCAGAATTGGTCATTTTTTGTCCAAAGGATGGTAAAAATAGTAACATATCTTATCACATTTTATCGTAACATACTATGCATCGTAATACCACAAAAGATATGGCTGGAAGATATTCAAGCAGATATACATTCTTACACTTGAATATAAGCACTTAGTTTAACTAACACAACTAAAAAGTCGTAATTTGTCTAATATAAGGTGGGGAACATACATACACACAGGAATATATTATATACATTCTGGGATGATTTAATTATGAGTTAAAGGGGTCATATAATGGTACATGCACTTTTACAAGTTGATTGTACTGAAATGTGTGTTGGCAGTGTCTGTACACAACCATCATATAATGATAAAAATCCATCCAGTGTTTTTGTTTTAATCTCCTTATATGTTTTCCCCTGCCTCAAATCGAGCCGTTCGAGCCTGTGACGTCACAAGCTCGCACGCCCCTCCCTCGATTGTTGATTGACGGGAGCGTTTCAACACAGACCCGCCCTCGCTCATGAGAGAGCTGTCAATCATAGTCTGCGCGGACCGGCGCGGTCATTGTTGATATGCTGGAGCACTGTCTATGAGCAGAATGGCGTCTAAGTGATTGTTGTGTTCTGTTCTTGGGTGTAATAACGAACACAGCAGTCATTTTAATGTTCCTGAATCCGAACCGCTGAAGACGCAGTGGCTGAGTTTGTTTTCGAAGGGAATATTCCCCACGAGCAACGTCGATGCTCTCATGTTTGCGAGAATCATTTCACACACCAGACTGCTTTATAAACGAGGATCAGTATAAAGCTGGATTTGCTAAGAAGCTGCTCATGAAAAAAGGATCGGTACCAGATATTCGTGTTCCTGCTGAATCTCCAGAAGAACGGAAGTGAGTGTAACGTTTTATTAAACTTTATATTAATATTTTAATCTTTTACAAATCGCTAGCTGCACGCTTCACAATGAATGCGTCTTAAGGTTTACACTCAGGGTACATTACGGCATGTTTTCTATGTATGACGTTCTCAATATAATTCATAATCCCACGTTTATACTGAACAACGCGTTATGGTTATTGTGTTACAAACGTGTACGCACAGAACTGAGAGGCGGAGTCAGCAAAGCTCATTATCATTTAAAGTCATATGCACTGAAACGGCGTGCTGAAAACAGAGC